AAAAGTAGACATCTGGATCCAGTTCATGAAGAGATAATAGCATTAGAATCAAGAAGTTAGAAAGTCCTTTTTAGCAAAGAAATTTTGGCTATTTCAGTAGGTGGAGAAAAGAGACTTAGTCTTAGCGACATATTTGATAATCCTAAATATGATAGGGTAACCCAAAGAGATGACCCTAATTGTTATCATGGCGGTGGGGATTTTTAGAACCAAATTCAGTGATCTGTTTTACAGATGCATATCGAAAATAATTCTAGCAGATATAAATAAGGTGTAATATTATTTGGTGATGTTTTGGTGTCTGGAGTTAAATTATACCAATCTTGACATTACAGGTGTGGAAAGCAGTTTGCGAGTAACCAGATGTAAACAAATCATTCAAGGACTTCCTGAGCACAATTACGTTGTTCTGAAATATCTGATATGCTTTCTCCATATGGTGAGTATAGGCAAAATTTCCAAAGTTGAGCCAGTCTTTTCTTTTCTAACTCTATTCTTGTTAATGCAACATTTAAAATCTCCCCAGAAAATGAAACTAAAGAATTTAAAAAGTATGGTAAGGAGGTTATGCAGTAAATGCTAATGCAGTAGACTCAGGCGGCAAGATTGTCCAGCTCTAACAAAAGTCAGTGCTAAACAATGGTCTTGTCAAACTTTCACTGTAAAATTCCCTAGATGCAATAAAAACTACTGTGTGAATACAAATGAAACTGCATCTGCACTGAAATGTTTAGAAGTCTTGTCCCATTCCACTCTCCACTCATACATGTATGCTTTACTGATTTAGTTTTTGTTTTTTTCCTATTTTGGAGTGAAAAAGCTTTTTAAAGACTTGAAAACCAGGGTTGGTTAACTGTTGGTACTAGAAAAAACATTGGTGATTTCACTTTTTTTTCTCCAAAGTGTAAATCTTGGGCTGCTACAACACCAAATAATTTGTATCATTTCAGAGAATGATAAAAATATTAAGGAGCTTTAGAATATTCCAAAATCTTAAAATATTTTATATTAAATCTTAAAAATGACATTTTCTTATTCAAAATAGCCTTTCATTTTGTAACTTACTACAGTGTTAAATGAAAAACTTTGACCATGCCATTTTGCAAGTATTTTTGGTATGCTTCACGATAAATCATATCATGTGTCTTCTGCCTTACTTCTGCCTTACTTTTCAACTTGCTGATTATTTTTTAACCCGTTTTGGGAAACTCCAGAATTTTGGGAGTTTTTGGAACTTCCATTAAACGTAGCTCTACTATTAGCCTAGTGATATCCTTTTGCTACTAGTTTTTGTGCAGGAAAATACAATGATAGGAGTGTAAATTTCCCTTACTTCTGCCTTATCCAATGCATTACGTTTTCCAAGCTGCATTTTTCAAACCCAGGTGCCTAAAATTGAGGCTTATGGTATATATTTAGTTGACACCTAAATAAAGTGATCTAGCCTTCAGAAGTCCTAAGAGCTCACCAAAGCAATGACTTATGTGGAACAATGCTGATTTTCACCGGTGACATAATTAACCCTCAGTAACTCTTCTTGGGCCAAGACACGTTTGCCATAGCCTCACCAGCAGCATATTTCAGAAACAAGTACATTATTTCATCCGTTTTTATATCAAAACCATACAGAAAGCAAGATTAAAGGAAACACATTGATACAGTCCTGACTCAGACAGCACTAGCAAGATTCCTGTAAAACCTACGTGTTCGTTTATTGTTGCTTAGCAGAACTCTAATGCTATTAAGAAAATCCTTGTGTCATTTGCTATTATTTTAGCAACTGATACCTCTCTTCGGTGTTATGAATCGTGTAAGTGACTTTGTTCCAATAATAGATGCACCATTGCAACGCAATTCTTAAGAGCTGAGCACTTGAGGTGTTAATGAGGTATGCAAAAGTACTACATAGTGTTTTCTGTAATTGGGCAACAGAACATAGCATTATTTTTCAGTATGCCGTGTTATGTAAAGCACAACGTCAAGTTGGTACTGATGCTCAAATCTGCATTTTTTGCTGATCCATGGCTTTTCATTCTTAATGTCTCAGGGAATATTTGCATTTGGAAAGGTCAAGGGAACGTGAAACAATCTAACGGCTAGAGATTTCTGTTCATTGCAGATAGGTGTGCTGTGCCAGCTGCCACAATTCAAACTTTAACACACCACTCTTCCAATAATCCTAGTTTTTACCTACAAGCACGAACCCTCTTACATGTAAGAGGCAATTTAATTCTTCCATGAGCTCAGCTTTGAGTAGTGCAAGAAGTACTTGTGGTAATTTCGTGAAGTGTAATCACTAGATACGGTTTTTGAACACTGTAAGTTTGATCCAGGCTTGTGGCAAGAGAAAAAAAAAATCCCTATTTTCTCTGCAGTCTCAACCCCATTACTTAATGAAACAGCTTCTTCTAATCCAAGAGTGCTACACCAAGACTGTGTGACTCCTACAAAAGAAAAAGACTTGAATTTTGAGAATAGGTCCAAATCCTTTGACCTCAGATGGGCGGTGAATGATTTTGCCAGTAAGGAGCCCAGCATGCTCTGAAAGGTACAGACTGTCCATCTCCAGTCTGCAGGGCATATGGCCACTAGAGAGTGACCTGCTGGGGTACATGGTCCACTTGCATTTGAAGTGGACTCCCCAGATGAGATCCCTAGGCATAACCAGACAACCAGAAGTAAGGGGGAAAAACAAAAGCTTGTTTTCCCAAGTCAGTCCGTTAATTGTGTCTGTAAAAGCTGCTTGCTCAGCTGCTCTCACAAGAGATGAATGTACGTACACAAACCAGTGTTTGTGCTGCACATGCCCCACTTTGCATGTGCAGCAGAGTGGGTTTGTGAATGTGCATACAGGTTCACAGGGCTCAGAGAAGTTTTCCTGCAGATTACTTGGCAGAAGATGTTGGGGGCTACAGTTTTACAGTTCTGAAGTCAGAAACCAAATTATAGTTTTCAGGGAAAACTATAATTGCAGTTTTCCTTGATAGTTTACAGTTAGTTTGTAGAGACAATAATATCTTCTAGGTTGTGTTTTTATAACAATGTCTTCAGTGTCATACCGGCTTATACGGCCCCCTCTTTATATACTTTCCCTCTCTGCGACTCATTCATGCCTGATACAGGGGAGGGGTTGACTTGGCTGAAGAAAAGTGTTGCAAAAACTCTGCCAAATCGAAACCTCAGCCTTGGACCAACTAGAAAAAAATGGGCAAGGCTTTGGGCAAATGAGCTCTTCTTTTGATCTGTAATTGAAGCAACAAAGTTAAACCCAAGCACAAGCTGGAAAAAGTTGCGCTGAATTAATTTTTTGTCTCAATCACTTGTCTAATTAAAAAGCGTAATTAGCATGGCTCCACCTGGTAGGGGACAGAGGTGGGCATTAGGAAGGGTTAGATGACTAAGGCTTATTGAGCAGACACAAGTTGTTGGCACCTATGCAAGATTAGCAGAGTAGGGGATGGAAACTAGTATTTTCAGTCAGTTTGTGGGGGTGTTTTAATAACTAGTAAAGTTAATTTTCTTTTGAAAATGTTTTGTGGGATTCCCTTGAGCACTGAAACTAAGAAGTCAGAGAGATGATGAAGTTCTTCTATATTTAAAATGTGATGGTAATTATCTGGTTCTACCGTCTGTCATTTCTCTGTATAAGTTCATTACGGTATATAGCGGCTCTCTAGTTTCACTCCTGTAGCGTGCATGAGAGCACTGGGACGCACATATACGAAATCCAAAAGTTGTCATAGTTTTGCTGGGGAAGCTCAGTACTTATTGTGAAATGGTGGAGATGTGTATTTTGCATTTGTTGTATGACACTAAAACTTCCGTGCTTACTTGATGAATTTAGCAACATAAAAGTTTTACTTGAAGACTAAGAAGACAACTTCTAGACTTTCTTTCAAAATAAGCTGTCGTTATTTAATGATTTTGCTATACACGTTCCAATGAAAGGAGGGGAAAAAACAAGAAACTGGAGCTGTGTAGTTCTTTCTTGTAATATGTTTCTGTGATTTTCAGATGATTCGTTCAAAGATAGGATCTAGGTCCTTGGAGAATTGTCTTTTATTAGCTTATCAAATTGGCAGAGCAAATGCATTCTCAGTTGACACAGAGGTGATGGTTACTGACTATGTGATGGAATCAGAAGAGTCTAGGGGGTTTATTCCAAATGCTAAAGATGTCATGTGTATTTCTTAGATAGATTATAGCTTTGGGGTGCAGTTATTTAGAGGGGCAGCTCACAGAGGTTGGCTGGCTGCATGCTGCCCTTACATGGTCTAGTGCTGGCAGAAAACATCAGCTGTTGCTGAGAGTGTCATAGATGAAGTGGATATATTTGTGATGTTTGTGAAAGAAATGTGACCTTGGAGTGGTGAGGGGTCTGACATGGTTTGAAGCCTGATCCCCTCCGGGCGGGATAAAGCCATTACACACCACAGGTATAACACGACTTCCTTGCTTGTGGCTCTTGATGAGCAGGCAAAGATTATTGTGGCGAGAGAGTAGGATTCGGCTGCACGTCTTTTTGTGGATCTGCTGAGGAAGGGATTGCTTTGCATTTTGGAGTGAAGCAACATGTAGTATCTCTCTTGAATTTCTAAGTGACTGCCTAACTGATGACTCACAGATAAGGCTTAGCGTAGCTCTGACTTAAATTTAATCACTGCTTCATTTTATCTTAAGGATTTTCTCTCTCGGGGGGGGGGGAAGGCTTTGACATGGGTATTTTTGTTGATCATCTCACTCTCTCATTGACTCTCCTTGAAATGATCACAGAGTGGTAGAAGGTGGGATTTTTTTTTTCCTTTTTGGAGTATCCAGTACATTATTTAGTTGTCCTTGAGAAGAGGTTAGAAGTGGTTTTATCTTGGCATTGGAGACATTCTTTGAGATAGTTGGCCAAAAAAGAAAAAAAAATGCTAGCTCTACTAGTGAGTCAGAATATTGCTGCTTTGTGCAGAAACTTAGGCCTTTGAAGGGAACAACTATTTCAGGCTGGATTTGTTTCAACTAGCGCTCGAAGACAGCACCTGTACACAGCTTACAAAATAGAATATGTCAGGGAGCGCTACCCAAAAAAACAGCGTGGACAGAACTGCAGCAGGTTTTGCTCCTTCCACCCTCCACTATCCTCCAGTATTGTACCACAGGCTTTTGTGCTGTCACAGGGTACCTGCCCTGTGTACACGTAAGGCACCTGCCTAAGGGTATACAACACATATCTTCTGTCTCATGCTATAAAAAACATTGATGGGCTGCAGCAGAACTCTCATGTTATTTTCGACACTTTCAGCTGAAGGAAACAGCAAAAAATAATTTGTCTGAGATCCGTAGGGGTTGCACAGAAAAACACTGTTTGAATGCAGCCAGTCTGGGCCATTTGACCTGAAGGCCAGATGACAGTCCCTGACCCTGTTATATTTAGCAGTATCCAAAGGCCAGCTTCACTATCTGTCTACCATCAGGGTTGTACCTAGGTCAATGTCTCCTCATTAACAGCGTAGACATCGTTATCCTCATCGTTATCCCCTCATCAGTTATTTTGGTAGTAGTTTAGGATTTGCTGCATTGCTGTAGTGTAATGATCTCTTGTTTAAGCTGATCTTATCTGAAGCAGATTAAACGAACAAGATGGGCTTGTTGGTTTTTCTTTAGTTAAATAGTGCATTGAGAGCTGCATGTGAAGGTCAGAAGGCTATACGAGATTAGTACTCTAGAGAGAATGGTGTGGTTTTTGCTTAAGGTCATGAAACAGACATTGCTGTTTAATCTGTCATCTTTTTATTTTCATATTGTGAAGCCCTTCTTTCAGAAGGGCAGTTATGGCACCTCTATCCGCTTATTAACAACCTCTTCCTTTATCCAGCCTGCTCCATGACCTTAAAAACAAATGAACCCTTTGATACTTGTAGCAGACATAGTAATGTTGTGGCTCTGATGGCCCAAGAGGGCAATGCAAAAATTGGAGGGAGAAATAGTACCTCTGATTGGGAAAATTAATATGGGCTCCTCTAGGGCCCTCAACCTTTAGTAATACCACAGAGTTTTCTTTTCAGGAGGCTCTATAGCAAGGCAGAAATGGAGAGATGCCATGCAATGCAGGAGGGCAAAATACCCACACATTCCCAGCCAAGCTCACACAGGAAAAAAAATTTCTTCCTGTTACCCAATCTTATACTCACGTCCACAGATACCAGTAGGACACATCACCCAGGTACAGGACAGATTTCAGTGCTGTGCCTCTTACCTACATCCCATTTCCAGCTCCCTTGCTTTGGAGGAATTGAGTTGGAGCAAGAGGACTTAGACACAAAGGTGTGCATCAGTGGGAGAAAAAAAAAGTCCTTCTAAACCATTGCAAACAGCTTCAGAAATCCTGGAGGTTTATTCTGTAAATGATGTAGTCCAAAGAGATGGAATAGCTGTTCATTTCCACTGTCCTCCCCACCATCTCCCATCAGAGATAACAATAGATTCTACGTGGAAAGACTCAACACATTTTATTTTCCTAGCATGAGGAAACAATTCAGTCTTTTTGCTTGACTTACTGACATCTTATGTTGTACCTGGTGGACACAGATCCCAGTGGCCCCGTAAGTCTAGCTGAAGCTTTACAGAAACTAGTGATGTACCTGTGATCAGAGTGTACTCCAGTAAACTTTCAGTGGCACGTGCCTACATATACTTATTTATGTTTGTATTTTTCCAGGTTTCACAGGAGAGCATATATAACAGAATGACAGGATCCAACCTAGCCTGTGTCTTTGGCTTGAATTTGATCTGGCCATCTAAAGGAACAGCCTCTCTAAGTGCTTTGGTACCTCTGAATCTCTTCACTGAACTACTAATAGATTTCTACTCAAATGTATTCAACTCCCGAACAGTGCCTGGTGAGATCTTACCTTAGCACTCCTAGAAAAGGAAATGGAGTATGGCTGCCTGGAGGAAGAGTCTCCCTCCATGCCTGAACTTATGTGAGCTTTATATTCCGGGCTCTCTTTCGCAAAGAACACTTTCAGTACACAGTAAAGTTTCTATAACTTTCCAAATACCAAAGATGTTGGGAGAAGCGTGCTTCCCCATATACTTTCTTCACTTGGGAGAATACGTATAGGAATGTTCCGAGACCAATAGCTAAAAATATCCATGCTGCTGAGTGCCACTCTGTCCTTTCTTTAGGGATCTGAAGACCTCACTACATGTCATTATTTTCTGAGGCTACGCAGAGCTAAGTTCTGCACCACTCCTGATTGTACAGCTTTTTTTTTTCTTACTTATTTGGTAACGGTTTGTTACAAGTTTATCTAATAAGTGAATAAAGACGGAATCAGTTTTTAAGATACTCAAATTTCTAGAACTATTTTTCAATACATTTAAGTGCCTTGCTTTACACAAGACATTGTGCGTAGCTGTGACACATCAGGTTTGCAACTGCTATGGAGAATGACGTATTTCTTGGATAATTTAAGCTATGCAGACAGCTAGCTAATTATGCTTGCAAATATCTAATCTGCCCAGTTAATCCATGTAGCTGCACATGCAACGTGTAAGGAAGATTTTTTTATAAGTTCAAATGGGAAGCAATAATCATATGTTTTTTTCCTTAAATACTTGGACATTTGTTTATATCAGTGCATTTTGTTTATATCAGTGACTGTGTAATTCAGAATATAGAACAACTTTGTTTGAGAAGAGCATTCCTTATGTTTGAACTGCATGCTGCAATTTGACTTGATAGAAATCTGCCCTTCAAATCAGTTTCTCCAAAGTGCAGTAACAGCAAAAACTTGGATATTATACCTAATGCCACTTTTATACATTTAAAATCCCAGTTTGGATAATTAGCCAAAATAACAAGGGAAATATCAGTGTTTTCTTTCTAACTATGCCGCTAATATTGCTTGTATTTGATGAACCATTTACTGCACTGCTCTTTCATTGTTTAATACTGTTAATGAAGTGCTGTACCGGGGTTGTCATTACGGTTGCTTGCAAGGCAAAAGAGAGCGAACCAGTGGTGGCAAAGGTAAGCTCCCTAACGGTCTCTCGCCTTCCTGCTTCTGTAGAAAACTACTGAAAGAGAGGGACCATTCAGGCTTTAAAAATCTGGAGGTTTCTTTTTTTTTTTTAAACTGGAGATTTAGCCATCCCCTCCTCTGCAAACACAAAGCCACTTTTTATCCTCTAGGTTCTAGATAGTTGAAAGTTGGTATTTGTTGCCTTCATTTTAGTTATAAGCTATCTGTCTACGTAACGGGTGTAACAAAACCGTACTGCAGTGGGTAAACGACTATTGGTTCTTGTCAGCAGTTTAGGGAAGTAACCAAGTATTTGGATAGCCGTGGAAAGCTGGATGTGTCAGGCCTTCATTTGCCCAGTAGGTGTCATCTATAGCATTAGGCAGTGATTAAAATTTGAAAAATACAGAGGCTTCGGAGCAAGATATTTTAGGATAAACTTTTTGAATTATGATCATGCCTTTTGCCCAGTTCCTCAAGTGTCTGAAGGACAACTTTTCACTTTCAAATGTCTAAGTAAAAAGCAAACATTATTCCTATTTAAATGTAAAATATACATTAGTACAAAGTACTAATAGACTAGGCATAGTACAAAGAGAACAACATATGCTCATGATTGTTGCGTTTCAGGAAAATGAGATTGCAAAAGATAAAGCTAAGTTTTGTACTGCAACTAGTCTCAGTTTTAGACCTGAATTATCAGTGACAGCATCGTAGCCTGTTGTATTATGAAAAACAAACACAATTATGTGCTGTGCTGCTCAGTGATTTGGCAGTATGGTCCTGTGAATCAGTACTGTGTACTTACAGAGGAGGAATTTGTCCTCGAGTCAATGGCTGAGGCTAGGCCTCAACCAAACTTGAGTATTTTACCACTATATAACTCTCTGACCTTGGTCAAAATATGCATGCCTTCGTTTCGCTGTCCGTAAAAGGAAGAAACGCCTGGCATTTAAAAAGTGCTTTGGGATTAAATGCTGAAAAGTACTACAAAATAGTTGTATTTCATTTTCGCATGTTCTCCTCCAGAAATCCAGCAAAATTAAAGGACTCTCTAAATTTAGTAGTCTCCAGGCAAAGTTGTGTAATGGGAATGAATCTGAGTACTGAGCAGCTTTGGCAAGGTGACCTACCAGAGCCGTATGGGGTGAAATCCTGAGTTCCTGGGCATCAGCTTTGCTTAAGAAGTCCCCAGAGCCCTCAGACTGGAGGTTTTACCTGACGGTTTTAGTTTTCCAACTCCCTTGTGCTAGGTCAGGAGAGAGCAGGAATTTCCTAGCTTAGCAGCAGTGTGCTAGTGAAGCAAGTCCTTTGGTCACAGCTGCCTCTTATCCCTGCATTAATTCCTGCAATAGTGGCTGTGGAGTATTCGATCTTTTTTTTTGTTTTATTCAATCTTTTAGCAAGTGTTGGTCTTAGTTACCGATTGCCATTGCATGGATCAGCAACAAGTAAAAAGTACAAGCAGTGAGCATCGCTTCAGCTCGTTTGCCTGCCAAGGGACAGATGAGATATTTCAAATCAGACTCACTCCTTACATATTGGTCAGGTGCCAAACTACAGGTCTTCCTTTTAGTTCTTTGTAAACTACCATTTTCCAGGAATTTATAGCTCCTGTCATTTACTGAATGAAGAAGAAAATGGTGTTTTTGCATTTCAAAGTTGCTTCTTTCTTTAAAGAACAGACGCCATTTGTTATCCATCAGTTTGGGTAATTTGATGCTACTTAAGCAAAACAGAGCCTCTGGTTCTGCCCTCCCGCAGGCAGGGGACAAGCGCTCCCTCTCTGTTTTTCCTTCCTGCCTCCCCTGATGCAGCCATGAGAAGAAGGAAGTATCGTACCCAGCACCAGCCCAGCCTTTCCTGCAAGACAGGAAGGGACTTCCCCAATCAAAGTAGCAAAACCCTCCTCACGAGACCCCATCTCTATCCCTCCTGCCCCAAAGGAACTGGCAAAATCCGACATCTGCCGCAAAAGCCCCTGATCTCTGGCCTGAATGCCAGATTTAACTATAACATTAAATCGGCTCTCATGAATTATTCAGAAGGGTTTGGAGTGAAATTCATGTTAGAGAAATATATGTTTCAAATTCCCTGACTCTGAGAGGAGTCCTGGAGGTGTCCCCTGCAGTTACTTTGATAACAGTTTCTCTTTACAAAAGATAATTGCAGGATTCGAGCTTTTGTACAGTGTGGCCTTGTGAACTCTTCTCTCATCTCAAAGAACAATTTTGAGATCATTTCCATAGCAAAAAGAAAGTGATTATGGAGATAATCTGTTGGAAACACACATGCTGGATTTCAGTTTAAAACAATAAAATGCAGTCATGAAATGAGAAATCAAGTGTTACCTAGCTGACAATATGCAGAGAATAAATTGCCTAAGTATTTTAGTTTACTGAGCTGTTAGGAGTTTTAAAATTGGTCCCAAGATTAGTCTGATTATCAGATGCCTTTAGCAACGAGCACTGAAGGGGGAAGGGAATACTTTTCTACCCTGAGTCTGTGAGGAAATGTAAAAAGATTGAACCATGTCATTAACCAAGGGAGTCTTTACAGTTCTTACAAAAAGCTTCCATAAATGAGTATCACTTACATGTGTGCAGATGTTCTGTATGTGTATGCCGCAATCCTCTAGCAGCATCCATCACAGACACTCTCGCAGCCTGATAAACTTTAATATATTCACCCAGTCATGATGATGCTAATAATAGAAAAGCCCCAGATATTTTATTCACATATTAAATGTGTACTTAGGTAGGGGAGCAGGCTGAACTTTTTAACGGCATCCAGCTTCATTTCCTGAATAGTTCATCCTCACGTTACCACCTTTCAAAGGGCAATAGGGATTTGGGGGGGGGGGGGGGGGAGGAGAAAGTAAGTGAAAGAGAATTATTGCCAGCACCTATAAATTCTTAAGTTAGAAACTCATCCTCAACTGAAACTCGACTGGCCAGTCATATTCCTACCCTTATTCTATTCATTTCTGAAATATTTTTACCTACAGAAAGAAGTTAGAAGCAAACACAGCCTGCTTTAAGTAGTCACATCTCCACTGAAGCCAAAGGTATGGCTGTGAGAAATGTATCAGTTGTATGTATTAAATGATATCTGTGGCTGGCTGGTGTAGTTTGGCATTCTGCCTTTCCCAATGGAGTAATACTCATTTTCACCATCTGAAGTGTTTGATTTTTATCTTTATCCATGCACATACTGGAAAGCCATTTCAGTGTATTGCACAAAAGATTCCAATATCATCGAAGAGCAGTGAAGGATTAAAAAGGTATGGTGTGCTACAAACGCTTTCATCTTTCTTGTAGACTGGGAAGCCTGAGTAAGTACTCCATTAAGCAGAGAAATTTCTCTGGGGTTAGGTTCATGGCTTGGACAGTGAACTGGCCTGCAGACTAAGAACAAAACTTTCAAATACAAATACCAGCAAAAGATCGCTTTTCCACAGTGGGTTGCAGACCTGTCAGCAGCTAAGAAGCATTACCCAGAATTATCACTGTAAGCAAAAATGGACTTTGGTTTGCCTTTTAGAGAGAGAGAGAGACTATAAACACACAGTACAAACGGGACACGAGTTCTTCGTACTCTTCCTAACTGGGGTGTTGTGAGAGCCAGCGTAATTGTACGTAGAAGGACTGTAGCCCTACTATTGCAGCTTTTCAAGCTTTTCATCTCTAGACTAACTGGCAGAAGTTGTGCCATAAAAATAATTAACTGATTGGAAAAGTATTTCTGTTGGAATATGCCAACTCAACAAAAATAAAAGCATTTTCTTAAAAGGTTTGGCTTTAGGGAGGTTCTTGCAGCAGTCGTTAAGGTCTTCAGGAGGCCTGCCCAGCTGCCTTTGAGCGGTGGGTCTCCCGGCTTGCTGCATCCCAAGGTCTGGCTCAGCCTGCCGGCTGTGCTGCTCTAAAATGGGGTTGGGTTCGCCGCTGAGGGGAAAGGAGCATTGCAGATTTTCCTTCACAGCCTCTTTTGAGATGGAATTACCTTTGCATACGCAGTGCTGGAATGATTGTTTGGGGCAAGGAGGGAATTCTGCGGGAGCTGGGGGACGCGCATGGCTGAGTGATCATTAAAGCGGAGGGTTTTTGTGGCCCTGATTTCTCCATGGTGTAATAATCTTCCAGCAACTGCTTTAATGACTGGCAGTGTGTTTGCAGTCCCCCGAGCACCAGCTTGTCAGTCACAGGGTTAGGATTTGTGCCTGTGCTTTAGAGTGGCTGAATCTGATGCCTGACCCAAATGCTCAGGTGGCAAAACTGCAAAATGCTTCTCAGACACAGCCTAGTGTACTAACTAGCTCATTTTCTTTTGCTCCAGTCCTCAAAAACTTACTCATTTAGGACAAGGGAATTCCCAGACTGATGCAGACCTTCCCAAGCCTAATATGAAATCAAGAGTTCTCTTCTGTCTTTTTTGGTTTTCTCTCTATTACATGGATCAAGTGCCCCAATACTGAAACGTACTGTCAAACGATTTCTGCACTTCAGCATTTCATCACACACAAGAGCAGTTTACAGCCTTTTACTCTTCTGCCATGAAGATTATCCCCTTAATTAATGGAGCAATAAAAAAGCAACTGTAAAATGCACCAAACTGCATCATCTTTGGCATCTGAACTTGATTTCTGCAGCAGTCATGTAAAAGTCTTCTGATGGGTGAATTTTTGACACTTCACCCAACAATTTCTTGACCCAAAGCTCTAAAAATAGGAAGAGCAGGTAATCAGATTTTCTGTTTCAAAAGCTTCGAAAGGAACGTGTTCTCCCTCTGCTTCACCTGCCAGGGTTGCCTTGTCCTTTTTTCTTTGTATTTCCCACCCCTTCCAAGCTGCATCCTCTGCTTATTCCCATTTGCAACCCTCTTCATCTTCAGTCTGTCAGCAGTCTGCATAAGTTGGATAAGTTGGATGGATGTTCACATTACCTGTACACACACACGCATACACACTGCGCTGCTGCTCATGGTGATGACTATGCAGCTGCTCATCCCATGACTTTTCTCCCTCCTTTGCTCGTGCCCCCACTTTGGCTCCTCAGCTCTGTTTTGGCTGGGTCAGAGGCTCTCGTGGCTGTACTGCAGCTGGATAAATTGAAATGAAAGCGCAAAGGTTTGGTTCTG